GTGCCCACAGTTGGACAAATAAAGTAAGTCTTCCCACTAAGGTGCAGAACCCACAGTTCGCAAGAATGTTCTCTCAATGCCCAAGTATCATTTTTCGTAAGATGAGAGGAAAGGGAAAAACCTGCAAAGTTTCGCATCATGATTTAGATCTAAATTACTCCTGACTCCACATGCACACAATCTTGGATTAGACAAAGTGACACCTCTTGTGGTTCCTTATTGCTGCTGTAACAAATTATCACAACATTAGTGGCATAACTCACATGAATCAGGGTGTCAGTATGGCTCTGTTCTTTCTGGAGGCTCCAGGCTAGACTTTTGTTTCCTTGCCATTCAAGCTGTTAGAAGCTACCTGCTTTCCTTGGCTTGTGGCCCCTTTCTCCACATTTAAAGTGCCAGCAGCAAAGCATCTTGAAGTCTCTTGGTGCTCTGCTTCCATCATCACATCTCCTTCTCTGGTTCTGCCTCTCCTATCTCCCTCTTTCATTTATAAAGTGATTATATTGGGTCTAGCCAGATATCCACTATAATCTCCCAATCACATGATCCTTAATTTAATCTATAGGTTCATTTTATCATGGGGCATATTCTTACATTCTGGGAATGAATGTGGACACCCTTGACGGAGCTTTCTTCTGTCTACCCCATCTCCCAAGGCCATGGTCATCATCTTTTCTCACTACAAACTGCTCATGGGCAGCCTGGACTTGGTCATCCTTCATGGAAGGTGTCACATCCTTCCATGAAGTCTACAGCACCCTCACTGCCCCCCAAAAAGGAGATGAGGCCAGTCCACACTCCCTGCAGCTCTCTTCACCTCTTCTTTTCTAGTGATGCTCATTTTTTAGTAATGAAAAGAAAGCAGATGCAAATCAAAGATCACAACAGCCAAGCCCTTGGGTAGTTCGCGTTCGTCAGCACCAAGGAGAGTGTCTCTGCTGTGCTCATCCCAGGGGCTTGAGCAAGGAGGACACAAGGAGAAGGGATGGCTGGACATGCTCCCCACCCCCACCATTTCTCTTCTCTTCTTCTTTCTATGAGAAAAACACAGTGAGGCAGAATGTTTAAAGGGATAATTTGACTTACTCTTATTTATCAATTGTGAACCCTTTGCACCTGTCTGGATATTAACTTTTTGATACATCCATTACAACTTCCCACATGACTGAAGGCTACACCCAGAGTGTGGCCCTGGGGAAGCCAAGAGCTTGCACAGGCCTCCCAGGGAATCTCCCCACCCCTGAGTGTCAGGCAACTGTCTTACCTACAACATGGAGGGACCATTTCATGATTAACACCTGACCCTCGGTGCCTGACCTTAGAAACATACCTATCACCCAGCCTGGAGCACCCACTGAGCACAGCCTCCTGTTCTGGAGCCCCAGCTGAGCTCCCCAGACAGCAGGGCTGAGAAGAGCCTCTGGAAAACTCTCCCAGGCTGAGCCCCGTACCTGGTGTCCTTCCTAGCAGAGCAAACATTTTTCCCGAGAGTCTAGTGGAACATGAAGACAAATCTCCCGGGTAAAACCTAACACCTGAGGGCTTCTCCATCTGCCTGTGACCCACCCCACCCCCAATGCCAGGTGAATGAAGAGGAAGACTGGGGCCCTCACAGGCATCCCCCCCTCGCTCATTCCCAATCACATCCCACCCACAAAACCAATGCTGACCCTCCAGACTCAGCCCTGCCCCTCTCAGTGGCTCGGGCCCCGTTCGTCCCCTTGTGGTATCTAGTGTAAGGGTCACCTCGTGCTTCTTCTGGTTTGAATTAGGTTCCTTTTGCTCTCATTAGTCTAGTTTCCTATGGTAGAAACTTAGATGATTGATTTGAGCACTTTACTCTTTCCTAATGTAAGCATTTTGTTGTGTAAATACCCCTCTCAGCACTACATAAGTTGCATCCCACAAATGGTGGTGTTATTTAAAATTCATATTAATTATTTTCTTTTTTTTCTTTTTTTTTTTTTCTGGTGCCGAAACCCGGGAATTTTATTTTTTATTCATATTAATTCTGTGTATTTTTTAAATTTCCTTTGAGACTTCCTCTCTGGCCCATAGATTATTTAGAAATATGTTGTTTACTTTCCAAGTGTTTTGGAGATTTTCCTGCTGTTTTTCTGTTACTGATTTCTAGTGTGGTCTATTATTGCCAGAGATTTAAATTATTTTAAACTTGGTTAAGTTTTAGATATGACACTAAGCCTAAGCAACAGAACAGGATGAATTGGACATTCCTTCTCTGGGCTATTCTTTAAGGATAGGTCAGCTAGCAACAAATTCTCGTAGTCTTCCTCCATCAGAGAATGTCCTGATTTCTCTTTCATTCCCAAAAGACAATTTTGCCAGCTATAAAATCCTTAGCTGACAGTTCTTTCTTTTCAACACTGAAAAATGTACCACTCCTTCTGGCCTCCATGTTTTCAGATACAAAATCTACTGTCATTTAAGTTCGAGTTCCTTAAGAGGAAATGGGTCATTTCTCTGGATTTTTGAAAGAAGTTTGCTATGTGTCTTAGTGTGAATTTCATTTAGGTTTATCCTATTTTGAGTTTCACTCAGTTTCGTGAACCATTATTTCTTCAAATACTTTTTTGGGGGAGGGTGTAGCTCAAGTGGTAGAGCACATGCTTAGCATACATGGGGTCCCGGATTCAATCCCCAGTACCTCCTCTAGGAATAAATAAATAAGTAAACCTAGTTACCCCCCCCAAAAAAAACTTTTTCAGTCCATGTCCATGTTTTCTTTTGCTCTGCTTCTGGTACTAAAATGGTACCAAAGTTAAGAGCCTTTTGTTTTTGCCCCACAGAGCTCTGGGACTCTGCTCATTTTCTTTCTGTCTATTTTCTCTCTATTTTTCAGTAGATTCTATCGATCTGTATTCAGGCTCATTGGTTCTATCTTTTACCATCCCCATTTTACTACTGAGTCCACCAATGCAGTTTATATGTATATATATGTGAAATATAGATGTATCAGTTATTGTATTTTTCAGTTCTATAATTTCCATTTAGTTCCTTTTTATAACATATTTTTCTGATGTTTTCCATTTTTTCAAAGGAATTCATAATTGATTGTTGAAGTATTTCTTATGATGATTGCCTTATAAAATCTGTGTCAGATAATTCCAACATCTGATTCATCTTGGAATTGGAGTCATTTGATTGTCTTTTCTCACTCAAACTATGAGTTTCCTGTTTCTTGGTATGATGATTGGTGGTTTGGTTTGGTTTTTTTTCTTTGTTTTTTTTTTTTTTGAATCTTGGACATTTTTGCAATTGTGTTAGCAGCCTTGATTGTATTTAAATCTTCAGTTTTAGCAAACAGTATCCTTGTTTCAGTTCAGCATGTAGATGGATGCTGGCCTACTTTCATGGGCTTTCATTCCCATGATGGTATAATCACAGAGCCTTTGCACTGCTGTCCTGGTCTACTTTGGTCTCCGGCACTACAACAGCTTCCGCTCAATCCCTGCCTGTTCTTTGCAGAGGTGGAAGGGGTTTTCTTTGGCTGCGTGTGGGCTACCTTTGGCCAGTGGGGAAGTGGGGGAGCAGAAGTTGTTGAGCCTGAGTTTCCTATGCTGATAGAAGGAGGGCAGAGAAACCCTTGTAGGTGGATCAAACCACTGCCAGTGACCTGGTTGTCAAGTGGGGTCTGGGACTGTCTAACAGAGCTTCTTGCTGCAGCTGCTGCTAATCGATCACCATCCTGCAGGTGCCTCAGTTGTGGAGAGGAGGTTGAGGCTCCCCACTAGGTCTCTGTTAGGCTTCCCCCTTACCGGTCTTTTAGCCAAATAGACAAGGCTTTGGGGGGTTTCTATCTATGTCTGTTGGCAGTTCCAAGTTGCAGGCTTCACCCACACCTATTCTCAGGCATTTGGGAGATAAAAAAGAAAAGCCAAAGAACTCACTGCCTGTCTGCCTTCTTCTTTCCAGCTATCAGAATTCTGATGTCTATTGAACAATTCCCAGATATTTTGTTGTATTTGAAAGAGAGGAGCAGGGAAAAGTGAGTGTATTAGTGGGGGCGGGTTGGGGGCAAGAGAGAAGCAATCTTGTTCCAGAATGGGAAGCCTGGGTTATCTCTTTGTATTAATTTTCTATCACTATTATAACAAATCACCACAAACTTAGCAGCTTAAACAGTGAAGTTTATTCTCTTACATTTTTCTGGAGGTCAAAAGTCTGATAAAGGTCTCACTGGGCTAAAATCAAGGTGTCAACAGGGCTGTGTTCCTTTCCAAAAGCTCTAGGGGAGAACCGATAGCCCTGCCTTTTCTGACTTCCAGAGTCTGCCTGCATTCCTTGGCTGGTGGCCTCCTTCTTTCATCTTCAAAACCAGCAATGTAGCATCTGGCTGACCCTTCTTCCATCATCCTGTTTCCCTCTGACCACAGCCAGGAAAAGTTCACTGCTTGTAAGGACTCGTGTGATTAGAACAGACCCACCTAGATAATCCAGCATCATCTCCGCATCTCCAGGTCCTTAACCTAGTCAGATCTGCAAAGTCCTTCTTGCCCTGTAGAGTAACCTATTTACAGGTTCCAGGGACTAAGACATCACTGGGGAGTCATTATTCTTTGGACCACATTCCTAAGCTACCTTTTGATGTTTCCATATGTGGATTTCATCAGTTCTTTCCTTAAGGAAGCTGTCTAATGGCATACATTTTTAAAAATGCCAAACTTCTGAGAACCCTGAGCCAGGAATACTTCATCTAGTCACAGCTTTGTGTAAAGTACTCCAGAATGCCGGGCCCAGGGCTTTGCAAGGGGCTGCAGGATGGGAAGCAGGCAAGGATTGTTATAAGGCAGCAACTTAGGAAAACAAGTTTGGGGTGCTAATGCTGAGGGGTCCCCCCAAAATCTGTGGATACACACTCATATTAACAAGTCACTCTCGGTCTCCTCTTCTGAAAAATGAGGGAGATGATAATAGTATTTACCCCTTGTTATCACTGTGAGAATTAAGAAAGTTAAAGTGCTCAGAGCAGTGCCGGGCGCACAGTCAGGCTCAGTATTTGTGAGTTTCATTACTGCTGTATTGTAGTTGTTACTTGTCCCCATGTGATTCCAGGTCTAAAGAATTAAGTTTCCCCCTTTCCACCTCCGAAGGAACTCCCTTAGGCTGATATCACCCCATTCGGATATTTTTCTCTTGAGTTTTTTAATGTTTTTTATTGTTTTTTAAATTTTGCTTTTGGGGGGACGTGATTAGGTTTATTTATTCATTTTTAATGGAGGTACTGGGGATAGAACCCAGGACCTCATGCATGCTAAGCTTGTATTCTACCACTTGAGCTATACCCTCCCCACCAATCCCCAAGGCCTTCATCTTAAAGGGGAGGAAATGGAGGCCCAGAAAACGGGAGAGATTTGGCCAGGATCTCTAAGTCAGTAGCGTAACCCAGGCTAGAGCTCAGGTCTCCAGCAGGAGGAGGAGAAGGGGAATGTTTGGGTTCTTCTTGGATGCTGGGCATGACACTGTCACTTGGCCAGTGATCCTCATCCCCAGCTCCCTGCCCCCTTCACCACAAGCACTGCCCATTGCCCTTCTCCCACCCCACCCCCTGCCCCCACCTCCCTGGACATGTCTCACCCTCCTCAGATGTGTCACACCTCCATAACCCTCATGGACCACAGGACAAAGCAGAAAGGCAACTCTATTATAACTTTATTTGGCTACATGAAAGGGGTATGGGTGCTTGTCTGGTCCAGTTGGATCGTCAGTCCCTGAAGGCAAGCAGGAGCCCTAAGAGGATGCCCCAAGCAGGACTCCGACTAGAGGGCTCCGCGCCAGCAGGCTGGACCCTTTCTAAGACGTTGATGACCTCAGTCACTCTGATGCTCCCAATATGGTGAAAATCTGCTAAAGCTCTGGTATGTTCACGAGTACAGCCCATGAGGAGGAAGGTGGTATTGAGGGAACCTGTAAGGAAGAGGAGGAGGAGTGAGGGACACTTTCAAGATTCAAATGCCCTTCTCCTCCCAGACACCCATCACAAACTAGGACACCCACTCTCCTAGCAAAGACTTGGGCACCAGTCACCTTCCCCCCTCCTCCATGGAATGATGTGCTGCAACCCCAATCCCCTGTCCAAATCCCACCTGCCTCCCTCAGAGATGGGAAAGCACCAGACTGCACCTAGCACAGAGCAGGCTTTTCAGAAAGAACGTTTCTTTCCTCTCACCTGCCTGAAATTTTAAGGTGGAACTGTAACACTTGGTGGCATCCCTGGGGCAAGGCTCAGTGTTGACAAAATTTGGGAGGCAACTCTTAGAGTGCTCGCCCACACAAGTTGGGCAGCCATGGGAAGAAAATGCTGAAGTCTTGGGGGTATTGGCCTCAAGTTTCACAAAAGAATCCATGTTGGTGAGGTTATTGCAGAGATACTTCCGGCAGATGCGGCTGTAGGAGGCAATGGACAATCCGGGCGGTGAAACAAGATAGGAGACTTGCGCGGGGTAAGATGAGGCTGGGCTGCAGCCTTTAAAACCCACAACTCCCTTTCTGGTCCCTGAGAAGCAGAAGATGAGAGAGCTCCGATCAGTGTCGCTGACCACACCTGGTCCAATCTCCCAACCTCCCCCTCCACCCTGCTCCTCCTGCTCACTCTGCTCTGTCACCAACTTTGCCTCCCCTACCCCAGTGTCCATCCCCTGCAGAGACACAGGGCCCAGATCCCCAGGTCTCCAGCTGTCTCTCCTTACTCCTCACCCCACAGGAGCCTCTCTGCTCCTCTCTCCTTTGTGTCCCAGACTTTTCTTCTCTCCCAGAGTTCCCCCCTTCTCCTGGGTTCTGCCCTCTTATCCAGCCCCCATCACAACCAGCTGGGTTGGTATCTTAATGTTGTCCCCAAAGATATAACAGGGTCAATAACTGGAACTCAAGTGCAGGGTCCCTGGGTGCTGGCAATGAGGGTGGGGGTCAAAAGAGCAAGCGAAACAAAAAAATGAGCACAGTCACTCCCCTTCACCTGTCTCGATGAACACCAATGTCTCCTCACAGCCCTCGCTCAGCCTACACACCGCACTCCTCATCAGAAGCCACCTCCAGTTATGGAGACTAACAGCTCTGAAGAGTGAGGCTGTTGCTTCATAGCACAGAAGAGCTCGAGCCCCTAAAGAGAGAATGTTATTCCAGTCATCTGCCCCTCACATTGCCTTCTCAGCCCCTGAAATGCCCATCAAGAGCTCAGCCTCCACAGATCCTGCCCGCGAGGAACCTAGATATCCAACTTTCCTTCCCACCAGTGACATGAATCCAGCACCCCGCCCTCCCCCCTCCCCCACCAACAGGGTCCTTAAGCATCCAGCCCCTCAGGACATACGAGGCAGAGTGGAGATGGCCCCTAGGAGACAGAGCAGCTGCACAGGGCTCAGATGCTGGGGTCCCATGTCCTGTGCCTGGGTCCTCAATGCTGAGATCAGTCTAGAATCAACTTCAGTCTAGGTCTCAAGCTCGGTTCTTGTCAGTCCCTGAATTCGCTGTCCACCTGCCTCTGGGTCACTGTTTCTGGAGCAGAAAGTTGATTGTCAGTTTTTGTGACATAGACTCCCTGAGACCTTCAGGGATACAGGTCTTCCTATCTCCAAAGTTACCCTCCAACCTAACCCAAACACCACGTTAGCTTCTCAAGTAATGACTTTCTCTCTCCTGCTTAGGTCCCGCCACTGAACATGGGGCTGGCTTATTCAAAGGATCACTATTATACAGGCTGTTCTCTATCCAGAGACAATGAGACCAGAACAACAAATGTGTGTGTGGAAGTCAACTGACATATTACTAAATAACTCTTGATTTGAAAAAAAAATTTTTAAGTATTTAGAACTGAATAATAGCAAACATACTACATTTCATACACACACACACACACACACACACACACACACAAAGTGTATGTAAAATCTGGTGAAAACTGAGTAAGAGCTGTAATTTAGTTAAGTTTAGTTACTGTAATTTAGTTAAGTTTAGTTACAATGTCAATTTCCTGCTTATTACAGCTGTACAGAATGGCCCCATGCGGGACCAGAGGAAGGATTTAAGGGACTCTGTGAACAATTTTTGCAACTTCTTGTGAGCCAATAATAATTTCAAAATCAAAAGTTTTTTTAAACTACATGTCAAAATTTGGGAAACAACTAGATCAGTATTTAGATGTAAGTCTATAATTTAAATGCATTTATCAGAAGCATTAAAATGTTTATGAGTTAACTTAAGAAGTTATATAAGGAGCAACAAAGCATCCCCCCACCAAAAGGGGGGTATAAATAAAAATAATGGCAGAAATCGATGAAATAGAAAAACAACAAAAAATTACAAAAAGCTAACATTCATTCTTTGACAAGATTATTGAGATAATTCTCCAGCAAATCTAATCAAGAGGGAAAAAAGTGAAGATGCAAATAAAATACAAAGGGAAAAACAGGAATTAACAGACATCGTATGTTCTAAAAGTAATAAAAGTATCATTAACAACTCTACATTTATAAATTTGTAAACCCAAATGAAGTGGATAAATTTCTAAAATATATGAAACGCCAAAGTTGGCATAAGAAGAGCATATGCAATGTCTTAAACCAATGAGAATGGCCAAGGATCTCAGGCAAATTGACAAGAAAAAAGAGAGCAAGCCCAGTAGGGAAATGGGCCAAGCGTGCGAAGAGAGACTTCTCAGAAGAGCAAACCAGAAAGGCTAACAAGCATGTGACGAGACACTGGCGCTCAACAATAATCAGAGAAATGCAATATATCCCAACGTACAGCCCTCAGACTGGTGAGGACTCAAAAAGCTGGAAGAATACAAGCACTGGTAGGACTGCGGGGCTAGAGACACTCGTGCACTGCTGCTCATGGGAGTAGTTGGGGCGGGGGATAGGGTCCTCTCCTGACCCTGAAGAATGGGGGAGTTGAGAGTTCGGATCAATGTCACAGGCCCAAAGTATCATTCATCGTATGGAGGAGTCTGGCAATACTTAGTCAAATTAGGTTTACAGATAGCCTTTTCTGATCATCCGAGGTACACAGAGCAGCAATTTCCACCTTCAACTACAAAGGAACACATATGAGGATGCAACATTGTTGTGGTGACAGTGAGCTGAAGGCAACGGGAGACCTAGTAAACACCCAGCACGCAGGGGTTGTACACCAGGGAATAGCATGCAGCACGTAGAAACAACTGGTTAGATGTAGGCATCACATGCACATGCATGGACATAAAGGCACAGTGCTGATTATTTTAAATAGTAAATAACACTATCACTTACATAAATTAAAACCTCATGGACATAAAACACTGCACATCTCACAAGAACACACACAAACCAAAGATACGCATCACCCACCTGAAATGAGTATCTATGGGACAGTTAGGGAATAAAAATTGGGAATTGAGGATTACTGGAAAGAAATAAAACATTGTAGGTGGTACAAATTCATAGGCTTTGGACTCAAAGGTAGATCAAGGTTGAAATCTTTACCCCTCCACTTACTAGCTGTGCAATCTTGTGCATCATATTGAACTCATTTATAAAATGTATTAATAACACATCTCATAGAGTCACTGTTGAATATTAAAAAGATTATTAGTATGAAGTGCCAGGCAAGTTCTAAGCTCTCCAAAAATGTTGGTTCCCCTATCTCTCCAGTATCTAAAGGATCAAGGTTAACCTCTTTGCTGGCATTCAAGCCTCACATACACCCCCACCCTCCACCCCTAGATTGGCCCCAAACAACCTTGCCAACTGTTCAGTACTGCTCCCTTGTGCAGCAGTCCAGCTAGAGGTCGCTTCTGCCACACTTTTCTGTCCAGAATGCCTGGCACACAGGCTCAGCAACCCAGAAATCTGTGGCAAACTAAGAGGCCGAGATTTGCAGAAAAGATGGGACACAGAAAGGGGGAATGAAGGCTGATGAAGGATCACACAAAGGCGTTGGGCCAAGCAGAGAAGATGGCCCACACCAGCCCAGACCGCAAAACGACAGGACCCAACAATCTGAGCACAAACAGGGACACAACCAGAAGAGTGTGATGAAATCCCCAAGGAAAAAAGGACAGAGCAGTGGTCAGAGGAGATGCTACATCTACAAAAGTGAAACCACAGAAAGAAAGAAGAGCAAACTGATAGAACGGAAATCTGCAGGAAGACAGAGGAGCAGCAGAGAGCTCACAATTGGGGAGTGGCAGAAAAGTGAGGAGCTGGCCACAAAGACCGGGTTCTCAGGGAAAAGAGGAGACAATCTTAGAGGCTGAAAGACAGAAAAGGAGACAGGGCGAGATGTAGAGAAAAGGGGACAACACAGGATGGCAGGGAAACTGTGAAATGGATCTAACAGAGGGGCATGGAGAAGGCTAATTACAGAGTGGAGCCCTGAGAATGGGGTGAAATCGGGAGGAAGATGAACACAGAGGGTGGAAACGGCTAAGACAACAGGAAAACTACAGAGCGTCTCAGGAATGGAAGAAAGGCAGAAAGGGGGCCAGGCTATAAGGGAATGAGAGACGTACAGAAAGGGGGTCGGAAAATCAGCAGGATGGATAGGCAGAGTCTCTGAGAGAAGGAAAAGTCAAATTTAGCAAAATCAGCACCGACACGGACAGGGATGACAAGACACAAGGAAAGGGGTGCAAGCTGAAAAGGTGGGACTCGGGAAGGAAACGGGGATAGTGCAGGATGGGGAGCACAAAAGGAGAAGGGTAGATCGGGAGCTGGGGCACCGGGAGAGAAATGAGAGAAAACAGGCGTTCACGCAGCGTCGAGGACCCCGACCCCCACCGCGAGCGGAGTCAAGACCGAAGGCTGAAGACGCGCAGCCCTGCACTGTAGGAGGGAGGGCGAAACTGCGCGTGCGCGAGTGGGTCCCGGTCAACGCCGGATAGCCGTTCCTGGGGGGAAGGGCCAGCCTTGTCCTAGAAGCCGTATTCGACGCCCCATTGGCCACCTCCCTCAAAAGGCGAAGAACAATCTGGAAAGGCAAATCACACGGGGAGGAAGAAAGGGCATAAGATTCAACTCGACGCGCTATTGGCTGGTCTGATAGTCCAGCGCGAGGAGAAGTGGGCCAGAGGTAAGGGGCGGGCTGTCAGTGCAGGATTTTGAAGCGCATTGGCCGCTCGCCTGGCAGGAGGAGGCGGCGCTTAAAGTTCATTGGTTCTTGTGAGAAGAGGCGGGAAAAGTGTCGCGAGTGCGGCGGTTTCTAACGCCACAGGCTCATTGCCACCTTTCGCCTCTTCTTGACTGAGTCTGACTCCGCCCGAGGCTGTGGTAACCGCGGGCAGACGACGCAAACACGACCCCTCCCCTCCCTGTCCCTTCCCCTCCCTCTCTGGCGCTGGATCCGGCCGAAGCAACCGCTTGCCTCCCTCTAGAGCTCCTGGCGCCCCCTTCCACCTCCGCCACCCCGCGGACCCCCAGCGCGCTCCCCCGCCCCCCGCCCCCTCCCTGGGACCCTGGCGCGGGGCGGGGCCGCGGGCCCAGCGTTTATGGGGACAGCTGCAGAAGAGCGTGCACGCGAGGAACAGCTGCGTGGGGAGGTGGGGCGGGCGAGGCGTGAGGCCAGTTGTTGGGTGTGGGGATAGGCCCGTGAAGGCCGGGCGCAGCGGCTGCACGAGCTTGCCTCTGTTTGGAAGGCATGTGGTGCAAGAGAGGAATTCGGGCCGCAGGGAGAGGAGTAGGGTCCATATCAGGGCCTGGCACATGGAAGCGGCTCAGTAAACCTTTGCTGAGTGAATGAACATAATTCTTGAAAGTGGGGGAAAGGATCCATGAGAATAATGTAATTACTGGGATACAAAGGAGTGATCTGATTAAAAGAGGTGCCGGGAGAAATTGAATTGCAGCTCATATATAAGGCTAAGAGTTGAAAGGCGAGCATAAAAATATGTGTAGAAATTGGATAAATGCAGGAGGGAAGGATGACCCCTGTTGAAGAGGACACCAGGGAAACTGCTGGAATGGGGTGTCGGTGGAAAGCGGGTGTGAACTGTTGAAGGGGGCACGAGAGTACGGAAGTATGCCTAAAACTGGGATTTGAGCTTGGGAGGATACTGGTGAGCAGAGGAGAATAATGTTTGGATTGAAAGAGCCTTAAGAAAGGAAAAAGGAGAGAGGTTCTTGGGAAGGAAGAGTGCCTGGGAAGAAGGATGCCTGAGGAGGAGTAAAAAAAGGAGAAAGCCTGGGGAGAATGAGGGTGAAAGCTGAGTCCGGGGGTGGGCACAATGGAAAACCCTTCCGGTGTGGCCTCCCAGAGACAGGAGGGCTGGTCAGGAGAGGGCCCATGTGGCCATCCTGACCCACCACTCCTGCCCCTAGATCCATGGAACCCAATGAAATGCCTGCTGTCCACCACTGCCCCTCAGACTCTGCCACAGAGGGTGAGACCAGAGCCCCCCAGGGCATGGAGCTTATCCCCAGGAGACCTGTCAGTCGCTCTCCAACCTGCGCCCGCTGCCGCAACCATGGTGTTACTGCCCACCTCAAGGGCCACAAGCGCCTCTGCCTCTTTCAGGCTTGCAAGTGTCACAAGTGTGTCCTCATCTTGTGAGTATGAGGTCCAGGGAAAGGAAGAGGATGGACCTCATGTAAAAGGTGACTAACTTAACTTTTGACTTGCCACCCCTCCTTTAGGGAGCGCCGAAGGGTCACGGCTGCCCAGGTGGCCTTGCGTAGGCAGCAGGAGGCGCAGCTAAAGAAGCACCTGGCTGAGGGACTAATGAGGAGAGGCGCAGCCCCTCCCAAAGCTCCCAGCCGAGTCAAGAAGGGAGTCATTCGAGCAGGGGTCCACTGTGAGTTTCTCTTGCCAGGGCCGGGGCAGGGATTTGGGCAAAGAAAGCATAAGAAGGGGAAAGAGTCCCAGTCCTGCCACTGATTGGTGTGTGACCTTGGGCAAGCTGTTACTACTCTCTGGGCCTCACCCTCCCCAACTATAAAATGTGATCAAGTGTTGGGAGGATGCATTGAGATCTGTGGGTAGAAAAGGGACAAGGGGAGATAAAAATTCAGTTTGGGGTTGGGGTGGGATGGGGGGAAAGAACTCACCAAAGCTCTCTCTGGTCCCTCACAGCGGGAAAGGAGAACATAGCACCCCAGCCTCAGACCTCCCATAGGGCAGTCCCACTGGCACTGACACCCCCTGGGAAGGTAAGGAGAGCCTGGACGCTGCTCGTACCCTTTCCTCTGTGCCCTTAACACCTGAGTTCTAGGTCCGGCCCTGACTTCTTATAACATCTTGGGCAAATCACTTTTCTCCCATGAGCAAAATGAAGGGGTGGGATTTGATGGCCTTTCAAGCTCTGAAGTTTTGGGATTCTACTCCCATCCTAGTACATACTTATTCCTTCCCCAGCCTACCTGACTCCAGCCTATGCCCCCTGCCCTTGCAGGAGAACTTCCGGGGGCCTCTGCTCCTCAGCCGTCCCACAGAATCTTTGCCTTTGCCCTGGACTCCACTGCCTCCAGGCCCTTGGGCCCCTGGACACTGGCTATCTCCTGGCCTTTCCATGCCAACCCCAGTGGTGTGCCGCTTGCTGTGCCAAGAACCTGCTGTCCCTCTGCATCCCTTCCCTGGTAAGATGAATTCAACATTAATCCAACAGATAGTTGAATGACTATACCACTGTATCAGAAAGCGAAGAGGAGAAGGATACAGGGTAGAAAGTGGAAGGACCTCTATACACTGCACATTCTCTTATCCTCTTTAGGTTTTGACCCTGGCACTGCCCTCCGGCTGCCCACTCATGGGCCCTTCCCAGCCTGCCCAGGATCTCGCCCAATACTGATGGCTCCTCTTTCTGGAGAATCCCAAGGGCCCTCTACCCTGCCCCACACGTGAGTAGGGAGAGAAGGATATGTGTTTATGATGTACTATGCTGGACACCATAGTAGATGAGAAAAAAGAAAAGGTCTCAGATTAATGGGTGAAGCAGAGCTCTCCTAGCTCTGCCATTGCCTGGCTGCGAACTTCTGTACAAGTATCTTTACCTCTCTGAGCCGTGTTTTTCTATCAGTAAATTGGAGGCACTATTACTTCTCAGGTTGTCACTGAGAATTAGCAATAATGTATGGACTACACCTAGCACAGTCCCTGGCCTTGACCAAATAGTTGCTAGTAAATCCACTTTAATAGATAAGATGGGGTTGAACTGCCTGCTGAAATGGGGGCATGGGGTGGGGGACATGGCAAGAGCCTCAGAGGCCTAGGAGAGAGGCCAGAAGCCTTTAGAGAAAGCTTCCTAAAGGTGGCCCAAGCTTCTTCTGGAGTTCCATGGGGACCGGGGAACTAGTGGGGAAGGAAACCAGACTCTGGTAGGACAGGAACAGTCATCCATTCACTCTAGACATTTTGTCAGTTTTTTAAAAAACTGGCACCAGTGATTTCCCATAACTCTCACAATAGCCCTGGGAGGAAGGAACTGGCAGAAATTTTCATTTTATAGAAAACAAAGCAGGCCAAGACAGAGGAAGGGATTTGCCCAAGGCCACAAAGCCTAATGACACAACAGGCGCTCAGATTCCCAGATCAGAATATAGCAAAATCCTGCCCCTCTTTCTATGTGTATATCTGTCCATGTTTAATCCCCCTGCCATCATTTCTCTTTGTTTCTAGATGCTCGACTCTGATACTGCAGCCCTGTGGCACCCCAGACCCTCTTCTGCTGCAGCCACAGGTCCTGGGAAAGAAGTGGGATCCAGCACCCCGGGGAAGGGAAGAGCCAGGGGATAGTGAAGTAACCAGGGGCAGAGGGAGCACCTGGAGGATGGGCAGAAGTGGGGTTCCCAGTCTGCTTCTCTCCCTTCCTTTGTAGGCCCCTGGAGCCTCTCGCCTGGCCTGGACCTCTGCCCACTCTGAGAGGCAGCTGCAGCGGGAGGCAGCTGAGGCTCTTGTGGGGCTGAAAGATTCGCCTCAGGCTCCCCGCCTGACCCCTTCTGTTCCCGCCAACCCTGCCTGGATCTCCCTGCTCCATCCCTGTGGCCCCTCAGGTAACCTGTTCCCTAAAAGGAGAGGATGGGATAGGCATGACTGGCAAATGGAGGTACTGGAGCAAACAGGGACTAACTAAGGAGATCAGGGTGTCAGCAGGTTGAATATGCCAGGCTCCAGGCTTCTCAACTGGAATTGCAGTTGAGAGTTGTTCAGTGGATCCATCTTATCCTTTTTGTGCTCAAAAGCAAATATTCAGTGCCCTGATGTTAAAGAAAGTGAGGCCCAGAGAGAGACAGGGACTTGCCAGAGGGCGTATAGCAAGGCAGTGGCAAACCTGGTCTCCTGACCCCAGCCCAAAGCTTTCTCTCTGGACCCAAGCTGCCTGCTGAAGTCTGGAGAGGGGCCTGCCTTCAATGAACTTCCATTCTATTTGGGGAACCTGGGTGCCTTCAAAAAGCTCAGTGACAACCCTGGAGAGAGCTAGAAGGGACAGAAAAGAAAGGCTGAGAATTATTCTGTCCAAAATGGTGGACTGGGCATGGTGAGCAGGTGAGGCTGAGGCCTGGAGGAACTGCTGGAACAGGAGGAGGTGAGGCTGAAAGGCTTCTGGTCATGGAGGTCTGGCGTGCCAGGCTTAGCGGTCTAGACTAGCAACCATACATGAAGGGGAGCCAGGGAATGTTTCTGAGCTAGGCGGGGACATATCCAGAGATCCTGAGCTTTAGAAATACAAGTATGGTGGCTGTGATAAAAGGACTGGAGGCTAGAGGTGGGAAAACCAGTGAGGAGGAAGTGTCTGCTCTAATCCAGGTAAACAAAGATGGATGGATGGGTTAAAAAGAGGGGGGTTGTTGGGAGGGGAAATGGATATGACCTGGTCCTGCCCCCTTCCTTCCTGCCTGTAGCTTCTGCTGGAGGAAAAGGATTCCAGCCTGTTGGCCCCTCTCTCCGACCCAGCCCAGTGCCCTCTGTGGCTCTGCATATTGGACATCTGGGGTCCATCTCCCTCCTAAGCTAGAAGCTCAGAGGTGAAGGCTTCGCTTGGGCAGAAGGCAACAGCCCATAGGCACTACATATTTGGTATTTTACTTGCAGATTTATGCATGGAATGTAACGTTGTACAAGCTTCAGGCTTTTAAGCTTTTAGGTGCTTTGTTGGCTTTTGGTTCCTCTGTAGCATGGGCATTTCCTAGGGCAAAGGTGGATATTCTCTTATCCACCTTGGTTCCTGGGACCTTTTTAAATCTCCAGCAAAGAGAGAGTTGTGCGGTTTAAGCTAACCAGTATCTAAATAGATTTTTGCATGAGTTCATGTTCCAGGGTATTTATTTGACACATGATCCTATACATACCTGTGCACTCATGTCTGTCTCCATGCATGCAAAAACAGAAGAGTATTTCTTTTCATTTGGTGTCTAGGTTTGTGTGAGTAAGCAAGAAATAAACCTGTGTTGTTTTAAGCCACTGAGACATGGAGATTGTTTGTTATTGCAGCCTAACCTAGTCTATCCTGACTGACAGAAAAGACTTGTTCAATCCATGTCTCAAAGTGAAAATCAGTTATTCAGTAACTACCACAAATAAATACAAACTTGGATTTCTTGTTATAGCCAAATAAGAAAGAGTGGTAGAGGGGATATAGTTGGTGATTCACTGATTCCATAATTAAGTGACTGCTCTGTGCCAGGCATGGACAGTTTCCAGCTGTCCAGAGGGCCACAAGTTGAAATGCCTGCAGAACCAAGCAGACCCTGTAAATGAGTAAGACCAGAGGCACCCTAGAAAACAGAATGCGTAGAACTGTTCCAAGCATGTGAAGACCTGTTGAGCTATTCCAGCTAAGGGGGCAGCTTCCTTTTGGCCCTCCAGATTGTGCCAGGCAGGAATGTAGGTTCAGTATTACCATATCTTCTGATTTTTCAGGAGAAGCTGGAAAATTAGACTTCTATGTAAAGCATCTTAATTTTAAAATGTTGGCTCAGTTCTCTTTAAATCCTATTTGAGCCAAACAAAACATATCCTCAGGCCAGCTTTGCCCAATGGAATGCCAGTTCAATCTAACATAACATTTTTCAAATGGGGAGACTGAGACCAATCAGAACAAGAAAAATCAAGTTAGTCTTTATCAAGGGCTTGTCCTGAATTAGGGAGGTTCATGTATCTAAATTTTGAAGGATCTATAAAAGGTTAGCGATAATTACCATTTATTGAGTACCAACTGTATACATTTCATAGATATCCTCAGCAACTCTATAAGCTATGCATGATTACTCCAATTTTACGAATAAAGGAGCAAGCTTAAAGAGATAAAGTGACTTGAGCGAGTATTTTAGGGAAAATTTCTAGGCAAATATTGGAGGAAGGTTGTTTTTCCTTGCCAGGCCTCAAATCAATTAGCAGGTAATTTTTATAATACGTAGAGTGAAAGATTCAAGACTCCAGGAGACAGACACAAGTCCCAACAGTTTTTCAAAAAGTCTTTATTTTTCTACTCAAGATATTGGTAAGTAATAATATGATCTTACTCACATTTGTTTCTTCATACTCTGCTGTCAAGTCCTTCTCTTTGAACCATTTCAAGCATGTGAAGACCTGCTGAGCTATTCCAAAAATAGGAAGACCTGGAGACCCTCATCCCCATTCCCACCCTTAGAAGGGCCAGACAGAAATTTCAAGGGATGTGCCTGAGCAATAATTCTTTTTCCTGATGTTACCTACCTACCTACCTCTCTTTTTATTCAAGATAATTGATGGTGATGGAATCCAATTACAACTTGCTTTTTCTTGTCTGGGGCCTTGAGAAGGCGGGCTTCTTCTAATTCTAACAGTTTACAGAGTAACAGATCTGCGGCACATCTTGGAACGCAGCACAAGATCATCAAAGGACTGAAATCTGCTTCACACCTTCCTTCCCTACCCTCATTATAACTTAGATATATGATTGCCCCTTAATAGACCTGCTTAAGCCTTGCTGTGCCATGCTTTCCCAGTGATAGATGATCAAACCCACACAGTCACAGAAGGGAAGCATTGCAACATGCAACATGGTCAAGACCCTGCTACTCAGGGCTGACCAAAGGTCCCCAATACACCAAGGTCACACAGCTGGAAAAAGTAAAAGAGAAAGTGTAATTTGGGGTTAAAGGATGACATAAGAAAATGGAGGAAAGGAGAAATAAAATGATGGAGACTGGCGGAAGGAGCTGGGTGCAGGCCCCTCTTTACAGGCCCTTCTCATTTCTCTGCAGCCCATCTCCCCCTTTTTGTCCTGGCAGGGCTTTTCACACTACCTGCTAGGCCTACTTTGTCTATCATGTTGTTAGGGCTACCTTTTTGGTGCCTGAGAGAGGGAGGCAGAGGCTCTGCAGACATCATCAGCTTTGGGGAAAAGAGCAGATTTAAGAATTGCTCATGCTCCCACGTGGCTGCAGCATCCTTCACCTGCGTTTGTGGGGAGCCAGTGGGCTCTTGGCTTCTGACCAATCCTTGGAGATTACAGCCAATGGACTATAAGCACTGTTTCATATGTCACCCCTTTTCCCATTACAAAGTGAGGAAAGATGTTGCTCAGGTCTGATAGGGTGTTAAGTAAATCATCCCCCTTCTAAGCTTCCTTCGTGTACCATCCTGATATTCTGCAGAAATAACTAGTGAGGTTCCAAATTTGAAGCACCATCCCTGCTTCTCTCTCCAAACAAAACTCCTCCCCGACAGACACCTATGTTTTTCTTCAAGAGCTCATTTCACATTCTGCCCTTTGGGAATCCCTGCTCCCTTTGCTTTAGCCCTATGTGAGCCTGGTCCACTCCTGACCACATTCCTTGTCCAGTGTTTAGCTGACATCATACAGTAGATCATCCCCATACAGTTTCTGTACTCAAACCCTCATTGTCTGGTCCATGTAGGCCTCGTTCTGCACCCCTGTCCCATTGTGTAGCTGGCTCTGCAGCCCCCATAGCATAGATCCTCATGAGAACCTGAGCTCTTTTCAAAAGCAAGATTCATCCTTTTTCTGACTTTAAATCTGTGATAAGCCTCTCAGGCAGAGTTCTTTACATTCCATAGGGCTCCCTGGCCCCTACGTTACAGGCCTGATCACCCTGAGATATGCCTATTTCTGTCCAACTATGTCTTCCTCTCCAAGGATAAGCACTCTCAGGGGGCAGGGCCTGCATTCAGTTCCTCTCTTGGGTGCTCAGAATAAACGTCTAAACATGTTGTATTGATTACTTAGGAATTGTTTTTTTCCCTACAAAGTTAACACACTCTAATGCCACCTCTTCCCTCGTCACATTAGGAATTGTTTTTTTCCCTACAAAGTTAACACACTCTAATGCCACCTCTTCCCTCGTCACATTAGGAATTGTTTTTTTCCCTACAAAGTTAACACACTCTAATGCCACCTCTTCCCTCGTCACAACATGAACAATGTCCTGACCGCAAACCAATTTTTATGAGTTGTTTTGGGGGGGTGGGTTATGGGTTTTTTGTTTTGTTTTGTTTTTGGAGCAGTTTTTCAGTTCACAGTAAAACTGGGGAGAAAATAAGTGTTCCCATAGTCCCTCTGCTCCCACAAAAACACAGCCTTCTCCGCTATCAACATCCCACATCAGAATGGTGCATTTGTTAAAATCGATGAACCTATATTGACACATCATCATCATCCAAAATCCATAGTTTACACTGGGGTTCACACTGAAATGTTCCTCTTTGCAGCCAGTTAACAATTTTATGAGAGCACAGGCCTGTCCCTTGTGTTCTTGGTTATTGGACCTGGTAAGGATTAAACTAGATAATGCATATAATACTAAATGTTTACCGGTGCCTAGGACAGAGTACGCACACAAAAAATGTTTGTTAATAGAATAAGTATGTGTGCACTATATGCAGAAACAGTCACTTTTAAAGGGGGCAAATAATCGGAATCCCGGCTGTCTCCACTACATCTTTTTTTTCTTATTTTTAATGGAGTGACTGAAGCCCTGAGAGGGCAAGTGGACAACCTAAAGCTGCACGGGTCAGTAAGGCAGGTAAATCTAAGTGGGCAAAATAAACCTAAGGGCTGAGAGAACATACTCAGGCGCTAGGAGGCAGAGCAGCACTAACTTCTCCCAAGGTCCTGCCTCACTCTCTTTGTCCCTGCCCTTATCTGCTCCTCGCCTCCAGAGCCTCCTTCCGCTATCCTAGGCCGTGGTGAAGCAATTTCCGCCCTAAGAGGGTTGGGGCTTCCGTCTTCTGATCTCGCGAGTACTAATGGTCACGGAAGGAAAGGTGGTGGCTATAATTTCTTCCTTGCCCTTCCCCTGGGCTCACAGTTCCGCCCTTACTAGCGCCACTTCCGGCCAGAAAAGGAGTCGTCCCGTTAGGGGCGCCAGCAGTGGACAGTTCTCTTTCATTCCCGCCCACCGGTTGCCCCATAACTTCCGCCAGGAGATACAGTCAGCGCCCGCCGCTATGCGTTCCACCCACGATCGACGCAAACGAAGCCAGATCCCTCCAGCTCAAGACGGGAGCTCTCTCTTCTCTGTTACGCTCCGGGAGAAGGAAGGGCGGGGAAGGAACAAGCCTCCACGCCCGTCCCCTCACGCCACACCACCCACCAGGTTCGCTGAGGCGAAGCCACATTTGCCCTGAGAGAGGCGGGGCCGCCTTTTCCAACTTCACTCTCGCGAGCTCTCAGGATTCTCGCGATAGCCGACACCCGACTTGTGCGCCCGGGAAACCCCGTTCCTCCCTTTCCCCTGGCTGGCAGCGCGGAGGCCGCACGGTAAGGCGAGTACTCCTGTTCGGGCTGGGCTCGGGGCACTGGGACCCGACTCCCGAGCCCGGAGCTTCTCCCTGAGGGCTCCGGGGCACCGGTATGGGGCCGCCCCGCCCCCTGGAGCCGCGGCCACGTGCGAGCGGCAGGCCCGGGCATGCCTGATCCGCGCGGTCCGGGAACTGAGACGGCCTGGTGGACCGGGGTGGCCCCCAGAATCGGGTCATATGGTGTCCTCGCTAACGGGGACAGGCAGCATTCGTACTACCCAGAGAGACCGTGGGCATCGGGGAACTGTAGGGCCCACAGACGCCGGGGCTTTTAGGGCCCGGAATTGGAAGATCTTCCGGCGGTAACGAGAGCGCGGCGGTTTAGGTGGTGTTGGGGCTGAACCCCGACCCTTGTCAGTCGTCTCCACCGGTCCTGTATTCACGTGCTGGATCTTTCCCGCAGATGCCTGGAGTTACCGTAAAAGACGTGAACCAGCAGGAGTTCGTCAGAGCTCTGGCAGCCTTCCTCAAAAAGTGAGTGTGGGGACTGGGCTTTATAGTGGGTGGAGGCCCTCATTTTTGCCTGACCCTTCACGCTTGCTCTTCCCTGGTTTAGGAGACTTACCGGAGGTCGCTGGAGCCTACCTGGCCTGGGTTGCGTTTCAGTTTAAGTCTTTCTATCTTGCAACACATCGGGCTCCTGTTAACGTACAGTTGCGGTGAGGGTAGGGAATTGGGATAAACTTTGTGGGGATTTTTGATTTGTACCTTTCTCACTGTCTTGATCTCAGGTCCGGGAAGCTTAAAGTCCCTGAATGGGTGGACACTGTCAAGCTGGCCAAGCATAAAGAGCTTGCTCCCTACGATGAGAACTGGTTTTACACACGAGCTGGTGAGGAATTGGGACCTTGGACGGGGAGCTTGGTGGCCCATCTGTGAGCTCTTACTTGCCCCCGGAAGTTACAGGAGAGAGAAACCTTTGACTGGCACTGAGCGCTTTGTGTGACTTTAAATAATTCCATATTCTGAACCTGTTTTTTTATTTGTGAGAGGTTGATGTGAGGACCTGTGCCTTTCCCTTGAGTCTCAAGGGAAAACCAGGGACGAACGAGCATTCATGCTTTGCCCATAGGTGGTTTTCGTTTTAGAGAGGGGCGTTGTGCTTTCAGTGTCTGTGGAGTCTTTTTGCTGTTCAGGTCATCACACTAGACATCTCTATGTATAACAAGTTGTTCCTAACTAAGGGGTTGGGGGATCCGGTCAGGTCACTCCTTGCTCTAAATCTTGACAAATCTCAAGTGCCCAGAAGAAAACCTTAGGTCATCCTGTATTGATTTGTCAGCTTCTCTTACGTTATTAATTCTCCTGTAATGATTTGGAAGGGTTGGTTTAAGTATAGCTCCTGACTGTACCATGCTAGTGTTGTCTCACCTATCCTTAATGTTTTTAAAGTTTCTCCAAGCTGTCGCCCCCATGGAGGCTGACCCTGGGGTTGGGGGATGGGTCTCAGTGCTGGTTGTGCCAAGGTGGCAGCCCCTGCACAGGCCCTCACTAAGGGCTCTCAGCCTCTCCAGTCTTCAGCCTTCCTCCTCTGAAGTGGGGGCTCTATCCTGACCAGAGCTTGTCTCCAAGTAGGAAGTAGGTGGGAAGCAGAGTTTGGAAGCTGGCAAAACTCAAGAATGACCTTGAGAAGAATTAGCGTTGGAACAGTTGCCTAGCACTTCAGAACATGAAGTATTTTGTAGACTGCTGGTGCACTCCATTTCAGGCCCTAGACTGGACACAGAGGCCAGAATGACTCAGCCACAGCCTTGACCTCTGAGGACTAAAAGGTCAAGTCTGTGAGGTGAGCAGTGGGTAGTATCCACCCACCCACTTCTGTGCTTTTAGAAAGAAAAATTGGGCTAGTGAGGGGAGCTGACCTGACTCTCCTGGGCACACAACAGTCAGTGATGGACCTGGACAAGACCACCCCTGTCACCCCATCTTGGGAGGCAAGGCTGCCTGGTCCCAAGTGCTCTTTGGTAATATGCCCCAAGAGTCAGCACGTCAAGGCAGCTTTGGAATAGGGGAAGAAATACAATAGCTTAATCTGTACTTAAGAAAAACCTCCCAAGTGGGACTGGTGGTTGCTGATTTGCAATTGATGTCAGGGAGGTGAAGTAACATGCTTGGATTCTGCCAACTAGTGATGCCACAGTCCCCCAACCCTTGTCACCACCTGGAGCGGTAGGGGGCAGCTGTTTTGCTTTGGTGGCATTTTGTGCTTTATTTTTCCACTACGGGAAATGGGGGCGAGGCCCTGAGTGATACACACCTAGTTTAGCCTTCTAGTCATCTTCACAGTGGCTGTGGCCCTTTCCCCAACACCTCACACTGGGTGGGCCTGCTCTGCTGGTCTCCCGTTGGGTTTCCGAAGCTCCCTTCTGATTGCACTTTCCCAGCTGCCTTAGTGGCATAGGGTCGTGGTTCTAGACCCAGGTGTGTGGTGTACATTTTTACTGGAACACAGGCACGCCCATTTGTTTACATGCATGCAGTTGTGGCAGACTGTATGGTCTACAAAGCCTAAAATGTTATCCTGTGACCCTTCGCAGGAAAAGTTTGCTAACTTCTGTCCTTGAGTCTAGAGTGCTCTCACTTAGTTTGGTCAGTTCGTACGCTGGACAAGTTGGAGTCATGGCAGGTACTCATTTACCCGGGGAGAAACAGAGGTACAGGCAGGTGACGTGATCCTGGGAGGGTATGGCAGGCTGTCTCCAAAACTGGAGTCTGCCGTATTTGCTTTTCTTCCTCTGGATCTTGGGGGCTTGGCCTGTTTTCCCCCCTCAGGGGTTTGAGGCTAAAGCACAGTGGGGCAGTGGCCTGGCCTGGGAGGCTGAGCTCTAGTGGTGAGGGGTCAAATTCTGGAGGCACGTAGGAGCCATTGTGGACAGGTCGTGATCTAGGTATGGTGGATGCAGAGGGCAGAGGTGTAGGTGGTGTGGGGGATTTGTTTTTTGATTTTTGGGGGTTTTTTTGTTCTTGTGTGGTTTTTCCTTCCCTTAGAAGTATGGCAGAGAAAGGTATCTGGGAGGCTCCCTTTCCCCACTTTATAATTCAGGTCAGGATGGAGCCACAAATGGGAGCTTGAAACTAGCTGTTGAATTGCTGAGCTGCAGACACCTCCCAAGCCTGGCTTGGTCTGCCATGTGCTAAGTGCAGTGTGAGCGTCCCTCATCCTCCTGGTGGCCTAGCAGGATGCACTGCTGGGCTGAGAAGGGGGGCTGCATCGTCCTTCCTTCATAGTTTGAGGTGGGGTGTTGATTCCTCTTCAGAGTTTCCCAAGAAGAACGGGTTGTCACCCAGGGGTGCAGGAGAGGAGCGGAAGCCTTTGGAGGGACGGAAGAAGCCATTTGTGGCAGCACCTAATTCACAGAGGCCTTCATGAACACCGGCTGGGGTGGCCTGAATTCGCATCTTTATAGCTCCACTTTAGAAGGAGTGGCTGGGCCTTGGTCTCAGGGGCTGGTGGGGAGAGGGGAGGAGAGGTCAGTGATTTTTCGTACAACTCAATATTCTGTTACCACTTACAAATTTTGAAGTTAATACTCTTCTTCTCCCTTCTAATGGGTCCAAAAAATAACTACTGCTGAAATAACTGATGAAGCGGGGGGGACCTCGTAGTGCCTGACACCATGCCAGACAGTCTTATGCAGTGTTAGAGGATGCAAGACTGCTCCTGGAAGAAACTAAGGCTGGACTTTATTGGAGTTGATGCCAGTCCCACTCAGGACTGAAGTAAATTGTCCCCTTTGGTACCACCGTGCAGACCATGTGAGGGGAGCAGACTCTTGTCACGGCGGGTGAGTGAGGTTGGGGTTCACATCCATCTACCAGACAGCTCACCCTATTCTATGCTGCGGCTGGGCTGAGCACTAGTCAGTTCGACCAGACCCATTTCTAGTGTGCAGTCTCTTCGGGTGTCTGAAATTAGGGGTGATCATCTTATCCCCTTCCTGAGACCCTTGCTTTCCACAGCCTGTGGGAGGGCAGATTCCCAGCTGGAGCCAGGGCGTGACCAAACAGTGCAGGCGGAATGTTGGTCCTGCCACTGGTCGTTTGTGCAGGTCTTAAAGAGATGTTTTCCACGAGATCATTCTCCAAGCAGAAAGATTGTGAGGGGTGGCTTTTAACAAGTGAGCTTGATTCTGGCAGTGGGTGGGCAGTTTGACACCTAGAAGGAGGTCAGCCGTGGTATAGGGGTGGGGTGGGGTGGGGTGGGGATAGAAAAAAAACAAGGAAAGTGGTTTTAAAAGTGAGCACA